TCTTGAATCTTCCAAAGCGTTCAACACCCCGCGTAAAATTTTACTTTGGATTAAGCCTTCATATTTTTCAGCACAGTTTGTCACTGTCTTTGGAAAATGTGTGTGACTCCTGGTGCATGCGTCAATGAAAGCGGGTTGTTAAGCTCGGTGGCCGTTGTGCAAAGTAACTCTACCAAGTTGTGTAGCTCGGCGGCCATTGTGCCACAAAGTAAATCTACTGAAATGTGTAGCTTGGTGGCCGTTGTGCCACAAAGTAAATCTACTGAGTTATGTAGCTCGGAGGCCGTTGTGCCACACAAAGTAAATCTATCAAGTTGTGTAGTAGCTTGGCGGCCGTCGTGCCACAAAGTATATCTAGTAAATCTACCGAGTCGTGTAGCTCGGCGGCTGTTGTGCCACACAAAGTAAATCTACCGAGTTGTGTAGTAGCTCAGCAGCCATTGTGCCACAAAGTAAAGCTACCAAGTCGTGTAGCTCGGCAGCTGTTGTGTCACACAAAGTAAATCTACCGAGTTGTGCAGCTCAGCGGCCGTTGTGCCACAAAGTAAATCTACCGAGATGTGAAGCTCGGCGGCACCATTTCATCATGACTTGTGATGTTTTCGGTTCTGGACAAACGAACATTTTAGCTCCATGTTATTTATTCCGAAAAACGTATAAACCAGCCTACAGTAGGGCCACTCAAGTCACTGAAATCAACTCACTCAACCAAATTACTGAAAAAGTTATATTGATGTGAGCACACACATTCCACTGGAGGCTTTGATGATTCCCTTGAAATGTGTGAGAGGTGTAGTGTAAGTGAACCAGTGTTCAAACACAATTCATTGTGGTCCAGCGTTCACCACAAAAAATGTGGTCTTGGTTCAGTTTAATATCAACACAACTTAAGAAGACTTGCCAGTGAACGGTTTCATTTTAAAGTAAATTTAAAGCAAGCAAGCAAGCAAGCTTTTTAACAGTACCTGGCCCAGATAACCCAGGCTTAGTGCAAAATTTGAATTCAGAAGTGAAAGCTTAAACAGTAAATTCAGTTTAATTCATGTCAACAAGTTGATGATTGGATGCTCTTAAAAATAGCAGAGAACATTATCTGAAGAAATGTTTTTGAACAAAAGAAAAAGAAATCCAGGTTAAGTGCTAATCAGGCCCTCGAACAACTGCGCCCTCTGGCCAGCACTTGAGACAAACCATACGATATCTCAAGCATTCAAAACCTTTTCATAATGAGACACAGTTTAATAGAGGTTTCGCCGTATGCAACCCTTACATTCAAAATATGCCATAATCATACTTATCTATCGCAAGAACCATCCACTCTTCCCCCTCAACTGCTACCTGTAAGCCTAACAAACATATCGAACGCACTCTCCTAAGCTCCGATTACTCCTAATTATGGGCATAAGGCATTGTCCTTTCATAACTGAAAGATTTAAATAAACTTCATGATGTATATTATTAAACATTATTTTTTCTAATTGCACTTTTAGATTTTTATTTGTTTATTTTGTTCATTCCATCATTAATTTTACTTCCTCTTTTGCCATTTCTATGTGATAATGTAAAATTCATTCTGTTATTGTATTGGATTAATAATAGTACCAATAATAATAATATTACGTATTTGTGTTGTGCTTATGAAATTGCTATTAGTAAAGTAGACTTAGATTGGCAGATCAATGGATAAGCAGGTCACGACAGTGGAACTCTACAATGTACATTGAAGCAGAAGTACATGAATAGATCAGTGAAACATTACATCGGTAGATTAATGCATCAGCAGATCAACCAATCAATAGATTCATAGAGCTGTGAATTGTTAGCACAGTCAATCTCCAGCTTTTTTGGTAAATCAAAGATTCTGGTATTATACATACCATTGAACCTCTCCAATACAGACACCGAAGGGACAGAGCCAAGTGTCTGTATTAGAGATCGAGGTGTCCCTATAGAAGAGTCACTATGACGTCACTTTTATGACTTGACTTACAGTTTTAAGTGTTCAGTAGCTAAAACGAGGCTCACACTCAAAAGTTGTAGCGAAAAGTACAATTCTGAAAGTGTCTTTTGCTATTTTGCAAGTGCAGTAAACAGTAAACTAAAGTACAAAATGTAATAGAAAAGATCTTTATGCTATATTTCGTTATTGAAGCCTTCAAAAAGTCTGTTATGTTCCTCTGTATACCTCTCACAAATCGTTGTTGGTATGTCCAGTGACTGGGCTTTTGAAATCACCTTGCATAGCTCATCAGCCAGACTAGAAGGGATTCACCCTGTGCAGATTCACCTGATCAGGATTCAGGATTCACCTGATCACCGCAGTGTCCATAAACATAGGCACGTTAAACGTGCATGAGCTATTTTGAATGCTTCAGTGTAACTATAATACTTCGGTGTTAACCTTACCAAGAGTGATGATTTGGTTTTTGTGCGAAATTGGGTATTGCGCTACATAAATGAAAACGCGAAACGCTCAGCTGAGTCGATCCTCAACCTATATATTCACTTTCCTCTGTCTTTCCCTGTTACATCTGGTGCAAGTTAAACAAATTGTTAAAGTAAAATAAATTTCTACTCACCAAACGTTGATTAGAAGGAAAACTCCAAGGTTTCCTCGGAGTTTCTTAAGCCAAAATGTGACTCATCGAATACTGAATAGTTACGAAATACCAGGATTTTTATCATTGTGGTAGATGGTTACATCATCATAATTCACGAGGTTGTCACGTGCAATTCTACTCAGTGAAACAGTCTTTAACTCCGACAACTTATTTCTTCATGTTTTAAAAGCTATGGCTTCTTAAAAGACAAGAGCCTTTTTTAAGGCATTGGTTACAAAACCAAACAGGTCTTCATACGTCCAAGTTACTATTTATCATTGTGAAAAGCCAATCTGCATGAGATGTACAGTCACACAGCTGGCACGTGAAAGTGTTGGACTTTGCCCCCTTTCGTGGTTCGTATGTGAGGGAATTCAAGTTATAACACAGTAAACTAGTAAACAGAATTATAAAAATAACTCTTGCACACAATTTGCACGTGAAGATGTTGGTCTTTGACCCTTTTACAATTCGTACGTAAAAAAGGCAAATTGTTTACTACAAAATTTTCTCAAGCGATTTTAAGAAATCACCTCGGCTTCATTACAACATCTGCAATTAAATTATGTTTCATGCAACGTCAAGGTTGATAGCCTAACATTTATTAACTTCCAAGAAAATTATCAAACTGCCGAAATATATTTCTACTTGTATCATGTTACTCCACTCAATACAACAGTATCTAATTATTGTGTCAACTAGCTTCTTCCAATTTTATTCCCTAACGCTACTGTTTCTACTCAAGTTACGCATCTTTACTAAATAAAATACGTTTCAGAAACTATAATACTTAGTATGCAGGAAGGATGTATCATGTTGTTCACTTATTATTCTTTTTTTTTTGTTTTACCAGAACGAAAAAGGTCTGTTGAACTTTGTAAGCGAGAGAATAATATTTTTAAAGCTTGTTCACAGGATTAACAATACTCGGTACAGCTTTCACAAAAATAAGCTGCCTTTTTAAACTTCTAAAACCACATTTTATAGGGCGCATTCTTTCTAATTAAAGTCTATATCTAAATATCAATTATTGCTTCATTGGAAGAGCTTTGAAAATATATGATCTTTTATACTCTACCCAGTTGTAGCAGGTGAAACAGAACTCATACTGACGTGCGTTGTACAGATAGCCGAATTAGGTCCGCAATGCCTTGAAGCAGCATCCATACTAAAATATGAACTCTTAAACAGCTGCATCACTGTACACAGCGTTTGAATCATGAAGATATTTAATATAATGTTTCCAAACACCTGTAGCCGTAATAAAAGACGAAAAAATTGTGAAGAATCAAGATGGCGGTTTCAAAGTGCCCTTGTTCGACCTTTACCAATGTCATGTTTAAGTAGATGCTAAGATCTCATTGGTTCCTAAGCATCAACTAATAGTACCTTCAACCTTATTGGCTCTTGCAACAAACATGCGAACATACAAAGTTACAAAGATACAAAGTTACAAAGCCACAAAGATACATACGCTCACACCACTGACATATGAGCTATTTTTTCAAAATAGCTCAATAAAGAGGTTAAGTTTATATGAATTTACCCTCTGGGGCTGAGATTTAGTGTTTATTCTCCGTATTAGAGAGAGTCCGTATTATAGAGGGTTTTTTTAAAGAAAATATATGAGTTTTGTAGGGCCATTGGAAACTGTCCGTAATAGAGAGGTGTCCGTACCAAGAGGTTCGACTGTATCACCAAAATCAGTAGACTTAATGGCAGACCAAGTTAACTGACTAAAAAGCTTCAAGTAAATCTTAAGTTACTTATTTGCCACTTTGTGTTTCATTTCATTATTTTCTGGAGTTTATTTTGTTCCAACATTATCACATGTTTGTACAAACAATGTCAACTTTATTCTTTGGCTTGCACAAATCAGTGCAAACCAAAGAGAAAAGCTCTCAATTGCCATAAAATTCCGAAAATAAGCCCCTCCATGTATAAGCCCCCCAAACCAGTAATGCAAAAAACCCTCTGCTAAATCGCCCCTTCAAATAGAAGCCCCCCAGGGGCTTGTACTTGGAAAATTGCCCTCAAATACAAAGTAAAAGAAAGCAAAATCAGTAAATTTACTTACAACTGTAAGGCTAGCCCAGTCTAGTTTGAAACACAAATTCCCTCCGTAGATAAGCCCCTCTGAATATAATCCCCGCCAGAAATAAGCCCCTCAAAAAGGGCCTTTAAAAAATATAAGCCCTGGGGCTTATTTTCAGAATTTTACGGTATGTTATTTGAATAAAGCAAACATAAGTTCCATTATCCTACGAGTGAGTAAACAGTTATGCACCTTACATAACTTAAGTCATACAAAGAGCATCTCTAAATCCAAAATTTCGATCAAGTACAAGATTTTCACTTTGGTAGTGAGACAGCAGTTTATGATGAGACAAAAATTGAAACTTACAGTTTTTCTTTTCCCTTCAAAACAGCTGCTCCACAAAATGTCATTGAACACACATACATCTGTATCCACCAAATACCTTGAAGTGTCAATGTCACAGCAACTGCAATAAGATCAGTGACAGCTTAATTAAGTTATTTTGATTTACAACTACTCGTTGACCTTCAAAGTTCACAACAGATAAACAGCAGCACAGCCAGGGTTTGACCTTGGCTGAAATAAATGGTCAAATACTAGTAAATTTGTTTCCTTCACATTAGCTAAAAAATACATAACCAGATTCTAACTATGTTTTCTAATTGAATTCACTGCTGTCTTCCTTGTTTTAAGAAGTTATGTGGTAAGAATAGCATACACGTAATTTAACACTTTCACACCCCCCAAGACCAAGACCAAGACCAAGGCCATGTAATGGCAGGATAATTTTTCAAAATAATCCTTAAAATAATTATGTGGATGAAATTCTATCATAAGCATGGCATGAAATTATGCCTGCTAACATTCAACACCAGCATCTCTGTGGTAGCCTTTACCACTTGTTATGCCCACCTTAAGTTGCACCATCAGACTCTTGATTCCCTGGTTACCAAATTCTCCACCTTGACAGATTCAGATATCTACTGGGCCAAATAGTGCAAGGAACACCATCCCACAGGTTGTGTTCCACTAGCCAACATGGATGGTGTAAAGAGAAACAAATGGACTTTGCAGCAGCTGGATCAAAATTTTCTCCTATCACACAATGCTGATTAAGTCTGCTGTTCAAGCGTGCTGCTTCATTATCAACATCCAACAAGGGAACTGCATGATCCTGCCAAGAATCTCCACAGACTCGAGATCAACAGCCCTCACAAGATCAATTGCAATCTCAAGACCAAAACGATTCACAATGTACCTGAATAAGAAAAGTACAGGTGAGTCTATGACAGGCAGTTTGATGATTTCCACAGAGTACATACATAAGCCTTCACTATGATCCATGCCCAGCATAGTGAATGTCTGTACTAAAGCTGAACCACTTTGAGTGTTGGACAGCATACAACAGTGAACACAATACCCAGATGCTGCACAGTTACTAAGACCCAGCCAATGCTCTTGTCCCTACAAAGGATTCAGCAGTTTCAAAAAATAATTTACATTCAAGCACGTTTTTCTTGAGCAGACATTACACTATTAATAGTACATAATATTTATATGCTTTCCACTCGGGTTTGTCCATTCAATGTTAATGCTACATTTGGTATAAGGTCAAATACAGCTCCCAATACAGTTGTATTACTAATACATATAGCTTATAAAATCAGAAACCTCTTTCTTTCCCAGTGGTTGATTTAGTAATGAAAAAATTTCAAGTCCATTTAAATCTGGTCTACAGGGGTACAATTATTTATGACCCATTCAATGGACGTTACTTTTGTAACGACAGAATTACCTAACAGACAAACAAACCCATCCAAAGGGAATGGACAAGACTACACATTATACATAGACGTGAACGCTGCACAGGCTGTGATTGATTATTGCCCATGATCTATTAAAGGACAGATAAAAGGATGATGTGATGTACTGTTTAACATTAAAAGCAGTTTTGAAAATGCAAGTTTTTCAAGTCTTGCACAAATTTAGGCTATTGTCAGGTGGTGCGCGTACTACGATCACTAAGCATCATGGGCGGTATTCAAAACCTGACCATTTGTGTCAAGATGGCACGAAGTGAACATCTCAACTGTGGAGTGAATATTCGTTAATTACGCTGTAGAAATATATGATTTTGCTTTGAATCTCTTCTGGAAGATTTTGAAAAACAAAGTCTGTCGAAATCTCAGGGAAAAAAAAGGTCTCATTCCGTTGATACTTGTATTCGGTGTATTTTGTCGGTAATCACTTGCATCCTGTTTGCAAGTCTGCAAATGACCGAGAAAAGTCAGCAGAGAATCGCTTTGTTCAATGCTTCAATCATGAAAAGCACTGAACGTAAGACCCGTGGTTTGCCGGAAATTTTGAATTCACTGTGAAATCAGTGTATCTAGTACCTAGAGGTACTGACATGCACAGCTGTGATAATAGTATGTGACTCTCCACAAGGTTTCCAGCATAATGGTGATAACACAGGCACGCGTGCGATGATACGGCACGCTACTTAAGCGTGACATCTGACACACGAATGTGCATAATTAATAAGGAAACAAAAGCTTTTGTTTTGCACGTCTTAACACGCTCAATCTTTTATGCTGAGCAGCGTGTTAAATGACACACTTCGTGTATGTGTATGTGTTAAAGTCGTGCAATATGGCACGTTAGCAAGAAAAGAGTTGTTAGGCAACCAAAGAGGTTAACCAAGAAAGCCTTTAGTTTTAGAAGTTACTCGAACATTGAAAAAGGCGCCTGCTGTAAAAAGTTCTTCCTAGCACAAACGCTCGCACCTTATGCTGAAAGATGAAAAATGAAATAACAGGACCGAAAATTATTGACAAAAAATCAATAGCAATAATGTGGCTCTTAAAAAATATAACTTGATGGGCAATACAACTTGTGCTGAACAAGAGTTGACTCCCACTACAGTAAAAACCCGTGTGTAAGAACCTACACTTTTCCAAGTTTGGCAAAACAGGTTCTTATATTTGGGGGTAGTTATTGGCAATTCAGGCTAAACAAGGTTCTTAATTAGGTTCTTAAGTTTTCAGTAGAAACCATTCCTGTGCAAGCAGAAAAAATAGGTTTGGTCCTTTATGATACAGCATTTATTTATAACTGTCTTGTCATGAGCCTTGTGCAAGAATATACACTATAAACAAAGTATCTTTATACTTCTTAGTTAAAAATGCTTATGAAAATATCCCATAATTCACATATAAGAACCTAATAAATTTTGCTTGGCTAAACAGGTTTTTATATTTTGGGGTATAAAAATGGGAAATTTCTGCCAGCAGGTTCTTAAACCGCTAGGATAACTCAAACTTTTTTGTGTTTCCCATATAAAGGTTCGAATTATCAGGAGTCGACTGTAACATAAGAAGCCAAAACAGCATTGAAGCAGATTTCTACATTCCTGTTGTGCGTAAAATGTTCGCATAATTACATATCAATCAGTAGAACAATTTAAATACTACGTGCATGAGGTTTACAGTTGGCACAACGAAAGAGAGAAATCACTCATGTAGTACGACTAAAACTTAAACCCATGCTTTTATACGACTAAGAGGTGCTTCGAATTGCTGCAAGTTTCGTCTTAGTAACATGTCTTATTATGGGGTATTGTACGTTACCATAGTTACTTGAAAGTGACATTGTGTAATGCTAAAACACAACACAGTAAACATATGGTGCACAATGCAATGGAACATTCTCACTGTGGAGTAAATTTCACAACGGAAGATTCAGATCAATTAGAACATGTCAAGGAAATGCAAATTATTCAAAACGAGAGAGATGGAGGAAGAAGATAACTGTCTTAAAAGCCTCACACAAGAAAAAAAGTTTCACTGTGGTTACAGCCTTGTGCCAGATTGTTACCAGACGTTCATGGCTTTATGCAACCTTACCAAAGTTGCAAAACTGTGTCTAGTGTATTTTTCTGTTGACAAAAGTACATGCATTATTGAAACAAAAAAACTGCGATTGAAAGAGACAGGGAAGCTTTTTTCAGAGACTGCACCAAATGCAAGGGACGTGATTACGGTCAAAAGTGGAGGCAAGCTGCTGGACGCTATGGTTATTGCGACAGGTGGTAAGTAGCGTCATGTTTTCCAATCTTTTTCCCGATTATTGATAACAGATCTAACGAAAGTTTCGCTGCATTTCAAGTTTTTGTTATACGTATAATTGTTGTTGCCCTTTAAGGCTTTAACGATTGCATTTTCTCAATTTTTAGATAATGAAGATAACATTAATAAAGAGGAGAGGGCTTTTGTTGAGACGAACCCAGGGCTTTTCAACCCGGAACCAGTTTCTCCTGGAAAGAAAAGAACCAACAAAGATAAGGATGCTAGTACGTCAAAAAAACGAAAAGCTTCGAGTGACGAGGTAAGCCTGTAATGTTAAACAATTCTTTCACCAAGATTCAACAAAAGAGCATTACAATCTTCGAAGAATATTCAACTTGCAGATTTATATTTTGATCTCTTTTTAAAGCTTAGGGGGTCTACTTTTCAGGGAAACAAAGATTTATGGTGCGGAATGAAGCCTCCCAATTATTTTGCTTCAAAGACACAATAAATTTTGCGGCGTTATTATTTTTTCCTCATGGTATAAACAGGCAGTGTATTTGGATGCGTGTGGACAGGGCCTTAGTTTTGTCTGTCTTGTGAGTACCTAGCACAAGCGTCCAGTTGCTTTTCTTGTAGCTATTAACATGAGGCATTTGGAAAGAACACTTTATTGCAAATCTTACTCGTACCTGTAGTATAGAGAAGTTACATGATGCGAAAAATAAACTTTGCAGCCAGTCTTCGTTCTTTGATCTGCTGAATTCGGCAATATTCTGACGAGACAATAGGGGAAGCGCGTGTGCAGTATTAAAATCAGGTTAAAATGGGAGCCTCACTTATTGCACCTAATTAACTGCCCACACTTTTTTAAATTTGTACTTGCATGCCGGTTTCAGTTCGGAAAAAGTATCACAAAACGTGGGGCATGTTGAGGAGTATTTATACCTTGGCGTAGAACAAGGTTTGTAGAAACACTTAAAACTTAATCTTCTACTTTTGATAGGCAATATAATGGAAATTATAGCTTCTTAAAAACCGGGTTCAAATTTCATGCTCTTACAGGAGGAATCTTGGTGCTCCATGTTTTAGATTGAAATGAAGGATATTGATTTTTTTTCTTCACAGAAAAAATTTAAACAAATATTAGCTTGTGTATTACTTGAGAAAAACGATCTAAGGAAAGAACGATATCTATTGCAAAACAAAGCATAATTATCACCCACGAAATTTCTCGACCTTCATGGCACCACCATCTTGAAATTTTGCATCCACAATGCACCGCAATCGTAGCGTGTATGTTGTGGTTCAAATAATTATTTATCCTTGGTTTAAATTTTTTGTTTCAAAATCATTATCATACATTACCATACCCAAAAACAAAAGAAAATAAAATTTAAACCAAGGATGAAATTGAACCACAACATGTACACCAAACAGGCTATTGTCAAATAATGCTAACTTGAAAATGCCCTATTACCCTATAGATAGTCGGCTTTTCACAAGGAAGTGATTTAGTTGAGTTATTACATGTGTATAAATTATTATTAGTCCCCAGTTTGTATAATGTGCATGACACAGCTCATAGTACTGTATGGCACCATCCATCAGATTTGGTTGTTTAAAAATATTGCAGACACGTGCAATTTAGCACGTTTTTCAAGACAAAAGCAAAGCAAGGTAAGATAAATGTTTGTTTTAACTTTACTCTTAATTTACATTGTAAATCTAAATGCTAGAGAAATTCTGGTCACCAAAATGGCAACTAAACCAGAATTCTTAGTCACCAAGGAGAAAATGTTAGTCGCATTGGTGACCAAATCAGTCACAACTTCAAGCCCTGCAAAAACAAATCAGTTGTAACAGTTTTGTTCTATGGAAGTGATAGACCTCTTTCAACATACATAAAAAAAAGGTAACATAGCGTTCACAGATCAATAAAGATACAAAAAGGTCCCTTAGTCATATTCATTCTTGAAAATGAAAACGTCCAAAAACTGTGGCCTTAAGCTTGCTTTAAATGAATAACAAGGACTTTTAAAGTCATTGCAATTCACTCTTAAAACAAATGGAAAAGCATGGCAACACTGACTCCAAGCTTCCCTAGTTTATCCTGAATTTCTGAGTGACTAAAAACAATTGGGTGTTTCTTTCATAACAGGCAACAGTCAAAGGACTTCAAATTTATTCATATATTGAGGACGTTACCCAAAAACTCATGGAATCAAGGCATGCATTTTTGCAATCCCAAGGCTTACTGTTTGTTGGAAACCATACTGTATTACAAAACAGTTTTGACGCTGTCAGTACAATAAAACTCTGTATGAGGGAATTTGGATAGAAAAGGCTTTTGCTCTTGACCGCCATGTTATCGTGTCAATGATGTTATCATGAGCAAACCAGCAATAAAGACAATGTGTCTGTGAGCTCCATTTATAATATTAGCAAAGAAAAATGACAAGAAAATACAGTAAAAACAACTGTAAACAGTTAAAACGTCGACATTATTATAGGACTTGTATTGTAAATTAACTGCTGAAAATACCTGACCATGTTGCTGGCCATGATGGTACAAACAAAAAACCAACCAGTCACAATTTCAATTCAGTTCAGTTCAGTGGCCTCACCTCATTGCCCTCAGGGAAGTGTCTGCCATTAACTCAAGTCCCAAACTGGCCAAAAGTGTCCAACATCAACATTATTTTCACCTAACAGTATCAATACACAATCAAGAGGAAAGATTATAAGAATGAACAAAAAATGATCATCAAAAGAAAAATGCTTTGACAACTCAACTACAAGGCTGCGCTCTAAGAAAAATTGAAGGGAGCCCAGGGCTCTAGTTAGGCACCAAGGGCCACGGGACTCTACTAGAGCACAGCCTTGAACTAATATTTTCAGGGTTTGAGCCAGGCCATGCTATTGCACCAACCCCACAATAACATTTAAAATGTCGCACCAGAAAACAATTGAGGGGTCATTTTGTCCCCTTCAGCATTTAGAAAAAGACCCGAAAAAAAAATTACAAATTTTCAGTACAGCGAATTGAACATAACAAGCAGAGCACAAATTGTGAGAAACAAAACTTGCCAAATGTTGAAAATTGCAGCGAAATAATTGTCAAAGTTTCCACTGAAAGGGCAAGAGTTTTAATCAATGATACAGAAATAACTTCAACTGATGGACAAGGCAGCCATGTTGGTGGTGTGTTGGTGGTCAATAAAACATAATTTTTTCTCAAAGAAGTTTTGTTCCCAGAGGAGAGAAATGCTTTTGTTCTTAGGTAATTTCGACAACGAAGTGATCGAAAAAGAAGACTGAAGCACGGAGGACCCAAATCTTGAAAATGAAGCACTCTAAACTCGAAACCTGTCTGCCCTTTAAAAACACAAGGCAGTCCCTTGTCAAGTCAACAATGCTAATACAGCAGGAATCAAGCAGGACAATGAATAGAATGCAGTTCAAAACTATTCAAGTAGAACTGTGAGGTGTTGCAAATGCATTTCCGCCACCCTGACTCAGTTTAAAAAAGTGATGATTTCCTGTTTTGGACATAATCAAAGTGTATTACACAGGCTGCTATTTTCACTCGGCCAAATACTAGCTGAAAATTCATTCTAGGTTTTTCTTTACAAAACTAGGTAAGTGTGACGTCTGTTTTCTTCCTATGTTTTCACTATGAAATCTTGCCCGGATGTTTCAGTCAGTGGTCAAGAGATTCAAAATTGCAATAGCGCGCAACTTTCAAAAATGACGGAAGAAGAAGCGCTTTTTTGGTCCCATGATCTGGGCTAGTGAGGGGCATTTGCCCGCCTTTTCAGTCCCACGGGTGGGGCATTTGCAAACTTTTCTGCTGGCCAGGGGCCAGGCATTTGCCAACCCCGGGGCTATTCCGGAGCTTTTGACATGCACAGTTTCCTATCAGAATATAACTACACAGACAAAAAGCAGATTGGGTCATCTGTCAAGGACAGGGGGGTTGTCAAGGCATGTAAATCAGGGCTCAAAATTAAAAAAATCTTCAAGTAGACTTTTGACGACCAACTGTAGAAATATAGTTGCCAGATGCAAATTTTTAGTCGGCAGTTTGTATAATCTAAATGACACAGCTCATTAAGTATCAGGGCTTCTGATATTTCGCGCGGATGCAGAGCCGCAAAATTCAGGTCAATCTGCGAAATTCACAAAAACATGCAAAATACCGCGAAACTCGCTAGAAATCTTATCAAATACATGTCGATCAATATATTTGAAACTTATTTCGGCTATTGGGGCTGTCTAATTGCCGTAAACTAGCAAATTTATCTTGAAACTTCATCACCACAACAAGCGGACAACGTTCCAAAACTACCAGGTGGAAATTATGTTGCAAAAAACTGGGCACTAGTCATGACGTTAAGAGCTTTGCCACTGGCTCATTTCTTGAGCGCTTTGTTGTTAAAATAGCAAATGATGTTAAAAAACATTAAACATGCTCATCAAATCAGCGCAAAATTGATTGATTTCTAGCAAAATTTGCCAAAGAAAATTCCCACGAAATAAGCTGTTTTTTACCAATTGGTGAGGTTAGCACTGAAAATTTCAGTGAATTTGTGTCTGAAAATCCCATGAAATTTGACTTTTTTTTCGCAACCTATCAGAAGCCCTGTAGTATGGATGAGTATCAGGCGTTTCTGGGGGAAAAGGGGAAAGATGGAAGCGAAAAAGGGACATCCATCCCCCATCTAAAATCTCCTCTCCCCTAGCCCCTTAGAAGGCCTGATACTCAGGCTAATCGCGGACAGAAGTTGGTATAAATTTGGATGTAAACTGGCTTTGTTTATGCGATTTGGCACATTTTTCACGACAAAAGCAAAGCAAGATATGATGAAATGTTTGTTTTAATTTAGTCTTTTAACTCAAATCTAAATCATAGAGAAACCTGGTCACCCAAGTGGCGACTAAACCAGAATTTTTAGTCGCCAAGGAGAAAATGTTAGTCGCATTGGCGACCGTATCAGTCGCAATTTCGAGCCCTGATGTTATCGATTTTATGCCCGCATTTCTTCATTGCCCATCAAGCCAGAATTACATGGCAAAACTCGGGAGCTATCAACATGAATCAACGTTTTTTTAGTGAATCAAATTTCTGTTGATATTATTATTTTGAAGAACACCTTTCATATTTATAACCTATTCATAACATATAGCTTTACAGCGCTCTATTAATTTTAATGTCAATAATTTTATATCAATACTAAAACCATAAACTGGTGCACGTTGTCGCAGCGTGAAGTCTTAATTAGAATCCTAGCGCTATTACAAAGGAAGACATTACTTGAATCAAAAAATTGCACATTAAAATGTTTAAAACAGCACTATTCGACTGTTCAATCAATGAAAAAATTTAATGTTGCAGTGTTGACAGAGTTCAGGGCATTTGCCCTCGTTTTTCGTCCTCACCTATCTAAGGGGACTGGGCGCAGGTGGAATTGACTGATGCATGAACTATAAACTTGCATGTGTACCGAAAAATGCTTATTAAGTATCGCTTTACTAATAAGACCGGACTTCGTATCTAGAAACGTTCAGTTCAACGGTTCGCAGGCTTAACATAAAACCTTGGAATGGATTTGTGAACCTTTGGAGGTGCGGATGCATTTGTTGCCTCCACCTGGTACGGCTTGCGTCGTGCAAGACTTAAAGTTCTAGTTCTTCAACCTACAGTGGTTTCGAGTTTTTGGTGCTTCGTTTTCGAGATTTGGGTGCTTCGAACTTCGGTCTTCGTTTTCAAGTGCTTCGTTTTCGAAACTACCTTCGCTCGTAACCCTAACACATCACCAATATGGCCGCCGTCACGTCACGTGCAAACCAGCAATGGGAAGTATACGGCACTCCTCACAGCAACAGCCGTACATGCAGTGAAAATTAAACTTTTGGACAGAAATAACCTAAAACCGAATGTTTGTTATAAAGGTTAATGATAAAAGGACAGCAGCTCTCGCCTGTAATTGAGTACCGAACGTTTAGGCAGAAACATGATAAGCTTACAATAGAGACCTTAAGATACCCCGAAATCGGTGTACGGGTAACGGGTAGCGCCATGTTTTTTCCATTTTGTGGTGACGTCATCGACCTTACCCGGTAGAACCAGCCGTTTTTCCGGGGTAGACACCAGTTTACCCGTAGAAGATTTACGAGTAGCTGCAAGTCCTACATGATGGAGAAGCGAGTAAGTTTTTAAGACTTTTTAAGTACAAATGTAAATTGTATGACTCCTTGGCAATGTTATTGCAAGTCTGTTCAAATATTTTTGCCAAATTTGAATTTTAGCTGTAAAGAAAGCGCTTCAAAATGTATAGTGATTTTGGACCTCAAATGCGCAGGTTGAACTCTGAAACGATATCAATTTGTGGCGGTATTTGGGGGGATTTCTGAAAATTGCTCGAAGGTTTGAGTTTCGCAAAAGAAATAGCATTGAAATATTTAGCATGGGAGTCACTGTTGAAGTTGACAATCAAAGGAATTGTTTGGTGATGTGCATCGATCAAAATGCCCGGGTTTGCGATAACAAGCTTTCGGTCGAGGGACTTCCCGCCAAGTTTCTTAAAATCTTTCTATGATATTTCAATAAGCTTATGTATGAATCAATTATTTGTTGCAGCTTGTTGTTAAGATATGAAGTGTAGAATTTGAGGGAGATTTTGTATGCATTAAGCGACATGCATGTACGAAGTTAATTTTGCGTGCTTGTTCTTCGGGTATCTTAATCGAAATAGTCACGCACATGAACATTTTACGTGTACGGGTACACTACCCGTACCCGTACACCGATATCGGGGTATCTTAAGGTCTCTAATGTTTACTATCGTTGTAAGAACAGCTGAAGAACAGGCTTCGCGAAGCACACTGTTCGCCGTTGGCTTGAAACACTTACACGCAACAGACTTGTTTAGGCAATTAAATAAAAATTCTGTATTGAACTTACTTCAACAAAAGCACTGGCGAAAACGAAGACGAAATACTACCAACACATACCCGTCCTGGCTGACCAGCTGTCGCAC